CTCGTTGTCATCTTAACATTTTCAATAAATAACTTCCTATTTTTCCAATAAACACCAATCAAAATATGCAATCTTATCTTAACTCTTGTCAGTCTGAACTGTACAGGAGATGGACACATGTGAAATAACAAAAATGAATGCATTTCATCACTTGCTGAATGATGAATTCAATCACTGGATGATAAGGATAACTGAATAAATAAGATGAATAAAACCTGACTTATCTTAAATGACCAATAACAAATAAGCTGAATCAACATTTCAGTAAAAGAGCAAAACTAAATTCATAACTGATAAAACTAATCAAAAAGTAATCACCAATGATACNCATAACTCACTCTTCTCTCCAGAATCGTTCGAATCCGTACCCTCTTCCTTCGAGTCATCTCCGGACATCGACTGCGATTTCGGCGAGTCATTCGCCTCCTCTTTACTCGTCCCGTCGTCGTCATCCTCCACGCCACTACTATTCGCCTCGCCAACGTCCATTTCGACATCTTCATTTGCACCTTTGTTTTGTCGTTGCTTATCCTCTGCCGCTGTTTCTTCTTCATCTGTAAAAAACTTCACTTATTTTTGATTATCATCAACAAATTGATTTCGCATCAGTCAGTCCACTAATCGACAATCACCTCATACACACACATTTAAGTTATACAATCACCTACTAATTCGTTACAAAATCACCAAATTTTACGAATATCTTAATCTTATTCTATCTTCATTTCATTGTCAATGAATCCCTTCCTTTGCTTAGATGCTTGCTTAAGAGCTCTTAAACACAGATAGACGGATTGCTAGGCTGCAATTCCGAATCGAACTACATACTCAAATTGTTTTAGCCACTTGATTCAGATTCTCATCCTTGTATTTCACACATGCTACCAACAACATATTCCGTTAATTCTACACTATTGGTAACTGACAACGAATAAATGCTGTTCGCCTCTCCAACTCACATCACTTTACTCTTCATTTTCATTGTCATCTTAACAAGTTCAAAAAATAACTTCTTATTTTTCCGATACGAATTAAACAATAAAAAAGATGTGGGGAATATTTGTGAGAAAGCATTGATGAATTAAAATTGTTGCTAGAGTAACTTACGTTGTGGTTGTTGTTGAGTGTCGTTATCGTCCTCATCATCCTCACTACACATACCATTTGAGACTGATCGTTCACCTTCGTCTTGATCTTTCGAGTTCGAGTTTGGTATTAGAAGTGGCGGAGTTTTTGGCGTCTGCAAGTGCTGTTCTTGAGTGGTGCTCTGATTGGTAGCTTCTTCTGAGCTGGTAGCACTCTTCTGGCTGCCTGGACCACCACTACTGCTTGTACTGTTTCGTTGATCGGCATTCGACGAGTCTGATTCTGAATCGTCTGATGTGGACATCCTTTTCCAGCTGCCTTCCTTCCTTCCTTCTCAATCTTTGTGTTTATCGTCGAATCTTGGCTCTCTTGAGTGTAGCTCTCTTGAGCCGTTTCTTTTGAATTGCTGATCTTCAGCCACTTTTAAGATGGCTGAAATTTCCAGATGGCAGATGTGTGGATCTGCACAATTCTGTGCTATTGAATTCGCTTGAGATGCTGGCTGGTGGATTGCAATTGCCGATGTGTTTCTTTGGAAACTTTTTTGCTGTTGCTGAGTTGATTTTGCTGTTGAAAGCTGCAAGCTGCAAAATGACCGAAGATTTTGCCTGAGCTGAATCATAGTGGTGTGTCGATATGGGTGGATTTCAACGGGTTTTGAGGGGGTGAAATCAACGTTGACACTACAGCTTGACGGATACAACTTATGAGTTCCACACAAACACTACACATTGAAATAACGGCTGGCAAGCGGCCAGCCGCATGAATTAAACAAAAATCACTTGAATCACTTGGTTGCAAGTGGTGTGAATGGAACTAAATGCGGAATTTTTCACATCGACGTTTTCGTTTGGAAGATAGAAGATGTTTAAAGGAATTTCCTGTTTCTGTGAGATTGCTTTCGGATGAATTTACAAAGCTGGCGATGTTTTGAGAACAAAAAAATGAGATGCATTCAAGTAAAATTTTGCAAAAATAGTCAACCATTTGTGATTGCGTTGAGAAATTGTACATGGATTTAGTTTTGTTTTACTGATTGCAAGCATGGAATTTTTCATTAATTTGCTGGCTTATCAAGAAGTTCAGAGTGTTGTGAAATTTGTCGCGATACATTCGTACGTTATATGGGTGAGAATATGAACGATGACTCGGAGGTATTCTCGTCGTAACAAATGCACGAAGACGTGAACGAAAAACATTTCAAGCATTCCAATGAAATGTGGTGCCTCTGAGGCAGCAATACGACGGAATCACGATACACGATATGAAACTATGAAGAAAATATTTTGCAAAAATTCAAAATCAGTAAATAGAAAAAATAAAAAGTTGTTGTTGAAAATGAAAATTTATTGCAGGTGAAAAAAACATTTTTGCTTAAGCTTGGAAGATACCCATGAGCTGGGAAGAGCTTGTGCCTGCGGGAATGCGGAAGACAACCGAATTATATAAATAGATCAAAATTGGCAATGCAATTCGAACACAGTGCTGAACACCTTAGCGGAGAGCGGTCGTTGACTCAGAAATCATTAATGAAAAACTACTGTGGTAATTACCCGAGGTCTGGGCAAAATATCCCATCAACTACAGATGGTTTGCCTGGATTTGGTTCTATAGGATGTTTCCGAATCTATATTCAAGCTCTCTAATAGCTGTCTGCAAATTTGCACTG